GTCAACTAATTAAACAACGCAGCACGTGTTCCCGCTGTATACGTAATACCTATGAGTAACCACGGCCGTCGCAACTGGATAGCGAAGTGTGACGTCACGCGTCGCGTTCAGGCGGAATAAAAATATTCTCGCGGAGCGCAACTTTGATAGGCTGTAACTTTTTTGTTTTTAGAGACAAATTAATAATGTTTTCGCCATCTTGTTTTATTTTTCCTAAAATTTCATTTGAGCTTATAACAAAAAAATGGTAAGCTTGTCCATTGAAGGAAATCCATTGAATTTTCTTTCTAAGTCTCCGTTTTCTTCCACAAAACAATCAGTTTGTTGCAATTTCTTGTCATTTTCTTACTACTACTCTCTAGTGACGCAGCCTTGCCCCAACATCGAGATCGACAGCGAGACCAGCGCTATAAAGTAAATATATATTTTGCTTTGGGAGTCCCTTCCGCAGTACCCTCTTCATATGGCCCCTTCCGCTTTTTTTCAGCCGTCGGCACCCGCCAAGTCGTTTTCCCTATTGTTTTGCTTCCGATTTATGATTTAGGGTGTATGCTCTGCCAGCCAGTATATGTTTAATTTATCGCATCCCTTTTGAGTTATGGACCGGAGCGTATGTCACATAATCATTGCGGCTAAAAAGCGTATTCGCAATGGCATCAAAATCGGGGGGTGCCATGTCATGACCTCGGCGTCAGCACTTACTCATGCGGGAAACTGATGTAAGTTGTGAGAATGTGGTTTTCTTGATGATGCCTTTCGTTTCTTGCATGTGACGATTCGCAGGTCTATACAGAGCGACCCAGATATCATAGCGCGAACGACAGGGGGTGATAAGGGGACATTTGCAATCGGAAAAACTATATACAGGGTGTCGAAAGTCATGAAGCAAACGAAAGGAGATGATAGAGGGATCATTTGCAATCATAAATTATCACTGGACAACAAATTTTAGTTTTTTAATTGTATCTTGTGGGAAAAGTGCACTTCTTTGTTAATTTTGGGGCGCTGAATCCAAAAATGATAATGAAATAAAAAAATTAGTTGCGGTTTAGAAAAAAAACTTTTTATTTTTAAGGATATATTAAAAAAAGTAACAAAATTCTTATACTTATAAGAATCACTATATGCGCTGTCTTTTTGCTGTTCTTTTATGGATCGTTTCTGGAGCATCTCTACCAAGAGTCCAACAGTAGTCTGCAAGCATTGAAGGATTCCACTTTCCCTGGTACCTTTTTTTCATTGTTGAAATATCCTGATGAAAACGTTCGCCGTGCTCATCACTTACGGCTCCGCAATTGTCAGGAAAAAAGTCCAGGTGTGAGTGTAGGAAATGTATCTTAAGAGACATATTACAGCCCATCTTTTGATACGATGACAGCATATTTTTGACAAGAGTTTTATAGTTGTCAGCTTTTCTATTTCCCAAGAAATTAGTGACCACCAGACGGAAATCATTCCAAGAAGTTTTTTCAGTACCTGTTAAAGTGTTTTCAAACTGTGTATCTTTCAAAATATTTCGAATCTGTGGCCCAACAAAAATACCTTCTTTAACCTTTGCCTCACTTAGTCTTGGAAATTTCTGACGCAAGTATTGAAAAGCTGACCCATCTCTATCTAATGCCTTGACAAAGTTTTTCATTAGGTCTAGAATCTACTAATGGCTTATGCTGTACATTTTTTTTGACCTGGCTCTAGGAATTGACGAACAGGCCAGTTTTGTCTGGTGTAATGAAGTGCCTTTGCCCGACTGTCCCATTCACACAAAAGCAGCTAGGCTACAACTAAAGTGCAACAACTTTCAAATCGCCACAAATATGCCATTGGTGTTCATCGTATTTTATGCATGTCAGTAGGTACTTCATATTGTCATATGATTCTTTCATGTGAACTGCAAACCCTCCAGGAAGAGATGGTAAAATATTTCCAATATGCAATAACACTGCCTTCGAACTCAATGTTGAACTGTCTATAAACAATCTCCATTCTTCTGGGTTATAGTTTATATTTAAAGTCGCCAGTAAGCCGTTAATGTTACTGCAGAAAACCAAGTTATTCTCCATATTGAAAGATGGTTCTAAGTCTTTGTGGCGTTTACGAACAACACATACTGAAACATCGTCTTCTAACAAGTTCCACTGCTGCAGTCTTGATCCAAGTAACTCTGCCTTACATTTTGGAAGTTCTAAATCTCTTACAAGATCATTTAATTCTGACTGTGTTTTTTTGTGCGGTTGGTGGCATGACGTGCTCGGTATAAAATCAGGATCTCTTGACGTTGATGGCATATCTTCTTCCTGACGAATCACTCGATCGCCATGATCTGATTCGTTTTCTGATTCGCAAGTGTAGGATTCTGGGGATTTTGGAATAGGATTTTCGTCACTGTGAGGCACAGGTCTCATCGCAGATGGTATGTTTGGGTAGTTGATAACCGATTTTTTTTTCTTGGACATACCTGTGGCTTGTCCAACACAAGGTACCATGCAAAAGTAACAATCATTAATATGATTTGTAGGCTCTCTTCAAACCATTGGGACAGCAAAGCGCATGGACCGTTTTTTGCCGTTTAACCAGCTCCTCAGACTTGAAGCACATGTATTACAGCAGATGTGGGGTGCCCACTGTTTGTCTTGATCACCTAGTTTACAACCGAAATAAAGCTGATATGCCTTTGTTATTAGTGGAGTAATAGACCGTCTCTGAGACGCAAAAGTCACATCACCACACACGTAACAAAACTGATCTGGATTGTTTACACACTTTCGAGACATCTTGCATGAACGCTGTCAGCCAACTGAGGAAAAAATGGCTAATATAAAACAATATAATGTACACGTATGTATAACGTAACACAATCATGCCGATTACATCATCTTTCCTTGCCGAATATAAAAATGTAGCACGTGCATTCTTGTGAATTACAGTATATTAACACTGTCACAGCAGGAACACATATAATTACCGTATCTCTAAAACTTGAACTAATATTGAAAAAATAAGTTTCATTCCGGTTTTAGCACATTAAAAATAGTAATATTTTGTTGATTTTATTTAGGATATTTTTTGGCTGTTGATCAGTGTTATCATTATGCTCTTATCGAATTGTGCACGGTTTTTGAGTTATCGCCACTTTAGGAATTTGTGGAAAATCGCTACTTTTGAGACTGTACTATTTCTTCTGAAGTTGTCTTTTGTTATTTTTCAATCAGATTATTTATCAAACTATGTGTCGCTGGAAAAAAGCTACGAATGCCAATTTGGTCCAGTTAATGTAGGTACAGCAGTCGGCTACTTACAATTTGGTATTTTGTTAAAAAGATTACAGCTTATTCAATGAGTCCTGTACAAGAAATTAGTAGACGGATAAAGTGTTTCTGGTGATGAAAAACTTCTCGATAATATAGCCTTTCAATTTTCTATTAGACGATCAAGACAATCAGTTTCTGCACAAAGTAGACAAAATGCAGAAATTCCTTTAACTGCCCTTGTTGACCTTTTTCCTTCCAAATAGGATGAGCTAATACTTATGTGATAGTAATTCTCCAAATCTGAATGAATTTTAGATCTAATCATTCCAAGGGATAGCGGCCATGACATTATTTTGGGTGTTAAAAGCGTTACTGAAATTGCCAGCTTTACGATGTGCAATTAGACGACAGTAAGCATTCGAAAGTGACTATTAGATGCCATCAATATGATGTTTGACTTTTATTCCCTCTATATAGGCCATAGTATCAAGAAGTTTCTCGTCACTATGGACACCTTAGCCACTTACTAATTTTTTGTACAGGCCTCGCTGAATATGCTGTAACATTTTTGACAATAGACAAATTTGCAGGTCAGCCAATGTCTGGACCCACACTAACTGGACTATATTTTTACAGCTTTTTTCCAGCAACACATCATTAGGGAACATATCCTGTAGATCTGATAAAAAATAACAAACGACACCTTCAGAAAAAAATAGTACAGTCTCAAAAGTACCGATTTTCCACACATTCTTAAAAACAGCTATAACTCAACCTGATAGAGGCATATATGGTTTTACTGGTTGCAAATGATCCCCCCCCTCCTTCGCTTGCTCCATGACTTCGAACACCCTAACATTTGAGACCGTGTCTAGGGTAAATCGCGGTAAATCAGCTGTACAGCACTGTCAAAAGTATTATACAGGGTGGCACATCGAAAACGAAACAGACGCACTTACTGGCAGCTCAGTTTTTTTTTGGAAAAACGCTCGGACCCGTCGATTTTTTTTTCGAGAGGGACACAAGTTTGGCAAAAAATCACATTAACAAGTGCAGCCCCCTGGGCGGAGGTGACACCAACCCTAAAATCTTAAATGGAAAGGGGGATCGAGTGATACCTTATTTTAAAGATCTTTCAATTCCCTTTATAATGATGTAAAATACATGAGCTTCAGTTCAGTAGTTTTGAAGATTTATTGATTTAAAGCTTAAAGTAGACTTTAATAGCTACATCAGAGCAGTTTGTACTACTTTCAGAAGAAATTTGACTAAAAGAATTTGCTTAATAAGTAAATGCTTTTCTTCACTACGCCCATGGTTTGTTTAGCATTTTGTTGTTGAAAATAGCTATTGGAGCGTTTCTTGAAGAAAGATAAGGAAATATCTCGTACTTATTTTAAATAGAAATTTAGTACATAGTTTGCGATTGATTTGACCAAACTTTGTTGCTAAAATAACTTGTAACGCTTTATTACATAAATTGAGGAGGTGATCTGCAAACCGCAGTTTTTGAAAAATTGGCAAATCTGGGTTAGGCATGTGATCGTATATTTTCAATGGTCCTCTACCCGATAAACCTAATTAAAAACGTCAAACTGCAGTTTTTCCCTTTGTAATAGCTAGTGAATTATTGTGGTGTTCTACAAAGCGCCGTATTTTGTTTCAACTAGGAATAACAAAACGCAATTTATTACTCCATGCTTGGAAAATCATAGCGCAACTTTTCAACTATTAACTTGCTGATCAAAATTACACATGCACGACAAAACGCAGTATTTCTTTGAATAAGTGGGGGGATATTCAGACCGGCTGTGAATAGTTCAGTTGTTTACCGGCAGTTACGAAGTGTGCGTGTTATACTTTTGCGATCTGTTGCTGCTAAATTACGCAATATTTCGAAATTAAAAATGGATGATAGTAGTCTAGTGCTAGTTAGTGACGCATCTGATGGTTCGAGAAAAAGAAAACGAACTATGTCTAAACGAGAAAGGGCAAAAGAATGCGGTAAGTTTGAATATAAAAGCAAGTGAGCGGAGTTGTTTTATATTTTTTATTGTTTTAGATACATGAATCATATGCCTAATGCTGAAGATTTTGAAGTGAAGTGCAAGCATTTAAAAACTCCACTCCAGTGTCATGAAGTTTCTACAGAGGATGTAAAACGTGTTAGAGAGTTTGTGTATAGACAACCAGTAAAAACGATAATAGATAGAATAAAATAGCCCACTTGATTGAAGTTAAGCATCCTAAAAGGAAAAAAAGTGAAGAAACATTGACAAATAAAGGCCAAGCAATTAGGCTGGATTATTTTTTAAGAAATATTAACTCTGAGAGGCTGTTAGTGTGTCAAAAGACGTTTTTGGCTGCTTTAAAGATCTCACAACGGAATATCCTTACTATCGGAAAAAAGAAGGCAGAAGGGCAGATAATTGAGAGAAGGGGAGGTGATTGGAGAAGCAAAAAATACGAGGAGCAGAAAAACTGTGTTAAAAAATTCATTGGGAATTTACATGCAAGTGAAAGTCATTACAATCGTAAGAAATCGAAGAGACTTTATCTTTCATCTGACTTGAATATTGCGAAACTATCAAAACTTTATGCTGAATTTAAAAGTCTCGCGTCGTTATTTTTATAATATTTTTGTACGCTATTTCAATCTCGGCTTTGGGAATCCCGCAAAAGATGTATGTAGTCTATGTACCCGTCTGACAAATACAATTAGATCCACAAAGAATGCAGCTATGAAAGGAAAATCTATTACTGAGCTGAGAATTAATAAATTGTGAGCTAAACAATTCCACCTTTTTTTGAAAGCAATTCCGGAGAACAGCTTCACAGTATGCTTTGACTTGCAGCAAGTCCCAGCGTTGCCTAAAATGAACATAGGGGAGGCATTTTATTTACGTCAACTTGCTCTATACAACTTTTGCATAACAGAACCTAGTACAAGACATCCTTACTTTTATACTTGGACAGAGAATCAAGCGAAAAGGGGACCGAATGAGATAGGATCAGCCATATACCATTTCTTGACAAATCGCGAGTTTAAAGAGAGTTGTAAATTAGTTAGACTATTCGCCGATGGATGCGGAGGACAAAATAAAAATTCTTTTGTCATCCACATGTCGATGTTTTGGCTTTCCACAAAGGCACCTAAACATATTGAAGAGGTGGTCCTGTCTTTTCCGGTGAGAGGTCATTCTTATCTACCTGCAGACAGGGTATTCGGTCGGATAGAGAAGATCTGCAGAAAGCGGTCTGAAATTACCACTAAGGAAGCATACTGGAATATCTTTGGAGAAGTTGGGAATGTTAAAGTGATGGGGCAAGATTGGGACTTGTTGGATTGGAAGGATTTTTCTAGTACAAAATTCAAGAAAATCAGTGGTATACAAGAAGTAAAGCGTGTTCATTTGAAAAGGGTTCGTGGAAAGTGTTTGACAAAATTATAAGTCTTCTACAGAACAGACAACGATACAAAGTATCAGAACTACTTGAAACGAGGTGCGAAATTAGAAAATTACCAACCTAAGCAAACTGAACTGCGCAATAGCATTAGAAAAATTAAGCTTGAAAACGTTGAAACCCTATTAAAAAAGTATCAAGAAGACTGGGAAGATAATGAAACCTTCGCTTGGTACAAGAACCTACTAAATGAAAGAAGACATCCAACAGGAGACGAGGAAGAAACATGCCCGGAATCCGACGATGTAGATCCAGAGTTATGTGATTGTGCTGAGGAAGACTTTGGCTTGAAAATATAATTATGTAACTTTCCGTTTCATTTATGTTTCATATGAATAGATTGGTTTTTCAAAACGCAGTTTTAATAGATGTGGAAAATCAAAATGCGTTTTTTTGTTTGTTTTTTGTGTTAGTCAGCAAACGATAAGGACCAGATTTCAGCAGGTTAGTGTAGCCATTTCATTGTCTCTGAAATTTGAGGTGGTATGTTTGGCTTAGCATTCTACTTCTCCATTCACGCACGTTAAAAAAACGTCTTTATCTCAAAACGTTGAAATTTCAAAGACTGCAGTTTGCAGATCACCTCCTCAATTAACCATGGTATATTCCACAGCAGCAAGAGTTGAAATTATCGAAATATTTTTCGGAAATAATCAGTGCGCTAATAGAACAGCAGAAATATTTAATGAGCGACATGAGAACAGTAACGTGCATCGAAAATATGTTCTAGAACTTGTAGCTAAATTTCTGGAAACTGGGTCAACACTTGCTGTTCCGACGAACGTTCCTTTTTCTTAAATGGCGTAGTAAATAATCATAACTGCCGATATTGGTCCGATTCTAATCCCAGAATTTAGCATGAGGTTCATACACAGCAGCCACAAAAATTAAATGTTTGGGCTGGTATTTTTGGCGTTCATTTAGTTGGTCCTTTTTTCTTACCTGGAAATTTGACCGGTGAAATTTATTTGTAATTACTGGAAGACGCCAAGATTGAAAATCAGAATGATCGGCGGTACATTGCGAATAGGTTGATGTTCCAACAGGATGGTGCCCCACCACATTACGCCTTACGTGTTCGACAATATTTAGATCAGACGTTTCCAGATTGATGGATTGGTAGAAGAGGTGCCACTGAATGGCCTCCAAGATCACCAGATTTATCACCTTTGGATTTCTTTATGTGAGGTCATTTAAAAAGCAAAATCTATGCTACTCAGCAAACATCATTAGAAGACTTGCGACAAAGAATTGTGAATGAGTGCCTTCAAATTACTCTTCAAACATTGCAAAATGTGCGGCAACGTTTTGAGCAAAATCTTTGTTATTGCATGGAGAGTCATGGTGGCCATTTTCAACATTTACTTGCCTAACGGGTCAGTTCATTCTTCATTTTTAAATTACTTTGCTGCCAAATGTATTGATCTCCACTAATGATGATGTATATATTAGGTTTATTTAAGCTTTAAATCAGTAAATCTTCAAAACAACTGAACTGAAGTACATTAATTTAGTGTTATTATAAAGGGAATTGAAAGACCTTTAAAATAAGGTATCACTCGACCCCCCCTTCCATTTAAGATTTTGGGGGTGCTGTCACCCCCGCTTAGGGGGCTGCACGTGCTAACGTGATTTTTTGCCAAGCTTCTGTCCCCCTCGAAAACAAAATAGACAGGTCTGAGCGTTTTTCAAAAAAAAAAACTGAGCAGCCAGTAAATGCGTCTGTTTAGTTTTCGATGCGCCACCCTGTATGTATGCATTTGATGATATAACTTGAATACTGAGACTTCAATAGGCAATGGACCCATGACTAAATGACACAGAAATTTAAAGTTTTTGATCAAATTAATGAAAACAAGTATGATAGACCACAGATATCTTGATTCAGAAAAAAAATACTATCATTTTCCCTATAAATACAACATTGTCCGAACTTATTACCTGAAAAGGTTCGTCCTAGATCCTGTAATTTATATACAGGGTGTTTATTTGAAAACTTCCCACCACCTAAAGAAGATAGAGGGGACCGATCTATAGCTGGACACTCCGTACATGTCAAGATCCTGTTGCGAGGGGCCTGCTTTGTTTGAAAAGTGCTCGCAAGCTACTCAGTATTATAACGTAGGATTATTGATTAATGAGCACCTCCTTTCTTAAGGTCTTGCTCAATATTTTTTAATCACAGCATTAACAAAGTTCACAAAACAACAAAGTATATTTTGCTGTAAGTAAAAATGAAGGATCGAAATGAATATCTATATCACGGCCGCGGCTAAATGAGTTGACGTTCTGGGAAGGAAAAAATTTGGAACACGAGTTCTCGAATATCTCTCATTCCTATTTAAAGTTGAAGAGTCAGCATATATTTGGTATCTACGGAAGAAAATCCGCACAAAAACTGTTGATCTCATGAACAATACGAAATTTTAAATAATGTATTGTCTAGTAGGCGGTGGAAGCCCGAACGGACTCTGGGTGGTCCGATCAACGAGCGCTGAGTGACATCTGACAACTGATAGGTCAGTGGCGGAGTGCAGGGTACCTCGATGCACTTACTACAGCAGAGTGTTGGCACACGCTTTTTACTGTGTATTGAATTATTCTGGCAATAACTTAAATTTTATTATAATTTTATTTTGAGGTCAGTAAACTATTATTTATTTATGGTAGTATTAGCTTAATCATAAATTATTAAAATCAATTGAATTCTCAGGCATTTCTTAGATAGTTTTTTTTTATTTGGACTCAAATACCCAATTTTGGGTGATTGTAATAAATAACGAAAAGTGAAAAATCTTGAAATTTGTTACATTCTAGACTCTTTATCATGCTGTGAAAGGGATACAACGAAACTACCAACAACCCTGTATGTTTTTATTTACCACGCCTGCTGGCGGGAAGGTATTGTGATCACGCAAATTTTCGAAAATGAGTTGTATGTTTTTTGAATATTATATATAACTTCAGAAGTACTGCACAGATTTTGATAAAATTTTTACACAATGTTACTACTATTCCGAGGACGCAACAGCTTTATCCTTTTTAAAAATTGGGCAGTGGCGGCAGAGAAATTGTCCTAGAACGAAACAAGTAAAATTTGCTGAAACTTATATTTGACGTTTCAGAGGATCTTGATCATTTTTAGAAAAAATCTTAGAGGTAAAAATCTTGATGGTGAGGGTTGTAGAGGGGTGGCGAGGGTTTAGCTAATTTTTGAAGTTAGTATTTTTATACGTTTCCAAGCTTGGTAGTTCTCTGTGCATTAGCCCTTAAATATTCTCAGCATCCGAATCACATACCTACCTTAGTGAGTGTTCTGTTGTTCTGTTAAGGCATTATATGTATACTAAGTGACATATAAATCCGAACACCCAGTTTAAATGGTTTTATTTTAATAAAAGTTGGTGAATGTATTTATCTTACTGTAAATAACAAGTGAAAAAATGTTCAGCCACTAACGCTCTAAAAATGAATATTTCAGCCGCAGTAAAGAATCAACGTTGGCGGATTTTGGTTATTGACATCCTTTACGATCGGTTACGATGCCTAGAGTACGGAGACCTGTACGATTTCGTCAACTTAGTGAGTTTGATAGGGGCCGTATAGTGGGACTTCGGGAAGCTGGACTTTCTTTTCGGGAAATTGCAGTTAGAGTGCAAAGAAGTGTAGATACTGTGGTTAGGTGTTGTCAGGCATGGCTTCGAGAAGGCCGTACGCAAAGAGCAAGGGGTACTGGACGCCGCCGTAGAACAACAGACCGTGAAGATCGCCGCCTAAGATTATTGGCCTTAAGGGACCGTTTCTCCACTACCAGGTCCATTGCAAATGAATGGTTTGCAGAACACGGAAGACCTATTGGCATGCGAAGTGTTTACCGACGAATGAGAAGTTTTGGCTTGTTTTCATACCGGCCACACTGGGTCCTCCCTTTAACTCGAGAACACCGACATAATCGCCTTGAGTGGTGCAGACAACGGTCACTCTGGGATCAGGAATGGAACAGTATTGTCTTTAGTGACGAGTCTCGATTTTGTTTAGGCATGCACGATGGTCGTGCCAGGGTTAGAAGGCGACGTGGTGAAAGGAGGAATCCACAGTTTTTTGTTGAAAGACATGTTCATCACACTGTTGGAGTTATGGTTTGGGGTGCTATAGCTTATGGTTCCAGATCACCTTTAATCTTCATCAGAGGTAACATGAACGCGCAGCGTTATATCCACGAAGTTCTAGAACCCCATCTTTTACCCTATCTTGACACCCTGGCAGATCCAACTTTCCAACAAGATTATGCCCGACCACATGTTGCAAGAGTCACAATAGACTTCTTTCAACATAATGATGTCACATTGTTACCATGGCCACCAAGATCTCCCGACTTATCCCCAATTGAGCACGTGTGGGATATGATTGGTAGGAGATTGCTCAATTTGCAATGTCCTCCTCAGACTCTAGAAGCACTTCGAGATGAGTTGGTGGTCACCTGGAATGAGATACCACAGAAGGACATTGACCACCTGATCAGAAGCATGCCTAGGCGCGTTGGAGAATGCGCAGCACATCAGGGTGAATCCACACATTATTAAAGGTCAAAGGGCTTTAAAGCAGTGCAATCATTTTGAAATTTTTATCATTTACTTATTATGCTTCATTAAGTACTTATACAAAATTTTATTAAAATAAAACCATTTAAACTGGGTGTTCGGATTTATATGTCACTTAGTATAGTTCCTGTGCTCTGATCGCGATGATAATTATATCTGACCGGCGAGAGGCGACGTTTCCAGGTGCACTACCGGTAGAGCAGGGAAGTAATGTCTATGGACTAATAGTATGGACCTGTTTAACTGACTTTTTCCAAAGAGGGTTTACTTTGCGCTGAACATAATCCTTTATAAGCTGATTCGTTTTTACTCTTCTACCTAGTTACAGCTCACCAACAGCAACTGAAATCGACTAATATAAAATGAACGATACTCCGACCTAATATATTTTACCTACGTCTTCTCCACCACTGACATTAAATTAATTTACAGACAGCATAGTTAAATGTCGTTCCCGATTCATAATTAATTACAATGTACCAATTCGTGCAGATAGCTGCTGTGATAAAAATGAAAACGTACAGCGTGTTTGAACCAGCTATACATATAACCATGAGGAGGTAAAATGATCGCGTTTATGTTAGCAACTGTCAAATGGAGGCTGGCATAAAGAGCTGACATCGCTAACATTCCCCTAACCCTGATGACATTTGTAACACGTGTTTTGATAGATGTCCTAATATTTGGCTTTAACACAA